GGGCGGGGATGATTGGTTTGGAAAGTAGATAGATGGACCACGTGGGGTATTGGCTGGGATGCATGCGTTTTGGCGTGTTACGGATTTGGTTTGGAAAGTAGGGATAGATGGGTGGTATTGCTGGGTGGCGGGAGGATGGTTGCGTTGGAAAGTAGATTAGATGGGTGGTTATTTTGCTGTGGTGGGGGGATGATTGGTTTGGAAAGTAGATAGATGGGTGGTTATTGGCTGCCGTGGGGGGATGGGGTTGAAAGTAAGATAGCATGGAGTGCGTTTTGGCTGGGTGGGGGGGATGGTTTGGTTAGGAAAGTAGGATAGATTAAGCGGTGGTTATTGGCTGGCTCCTACGGTGGGGGATGGTTGGGTTGGAAAGTAGATAGATGGTGTGGTTAATTGCTGGGTGGGGCGGATGCGTTGGTTGGAAAGTAGATAGATGGGTGGTTATTGGGGTGGGGGGATGGCTTGGTTGGAAGTAGATAGAGGTGGTTATTGGGCTGGGTGGGGATGATTGGTTGGAAAGTAGATAGATGGGTGTTATTGGCGGTGGGGGGGATGTGGTTGGAAGAAGTAGATATAAGATGGGTGGTTATTGGCTGGGTGGGGGGATGGTTGGTTGCGGAAAGTAGAGGAGATGGTTGGTTATTGGCTGGGGGGGGATGGTTGGTTGGGAAAGTAGATAGATGTGGTGGTTATTGGCTGGGGGGGATGGTTGCGTTGGAAAGTAGAATAGATGGGTGGTTATTGGCGGGTGGGGATGGTTGGTTGGAAAGTAGATAGATGGGGTGGTTATTGGCTGGGGTGGGGGATGGCGTGGTTGGAAGTAGATAGATGGGTGCGTTATTGGCTTCTGGGTGAGGATGGGTGGTTGGAAAGTTAGATAGATGCGTCGTGGTGAATTGGCTGCGGTGGGGGGATGGTTGGTTTGGAAAGTAGAATAGATGGGTGGTTATTGCTGGTGGTGGCGATATGCGTTGGTTGGAAAGTAGATAGATGGGTGGTTATTGGGCTGGGTGGGGGAGGTTGGTTGGAAAGTAGATAGGATGGGTGGTTATTGGCTGGGTGGGGGAGGTTGGTGGGAAAGTAGATAGATGGGTGCGTTTATTGGCTGGGTGGGGGGATGGGGTGGTTTTGGAAGTAGATGATGGCGTGGTTATTGGGCCTGGTGCAGGGATGGGTGGTTGGAAAGTAGATAGATGGGTGGTTATTGGCTGGGTGGGGGATGGTTGGGTTGGAAAGAGATATATGGGTAGTTATTGGCTGGGTGGCGGGATGGTTGGTTGGAAAGTAGATAGATGGGTGGTTATTGGCTGGGTGGGGGATGGTTGGTTGGAAAGTAGGATAGATGGGTGGTTTATTGGCTTGGGTGGCGGGATGAGTTGTTGGAAAGTAGATAGATGGTGGATATTGGCTGGCCTGCGGGGGATGCGTTTGGTGGAAAGGTTAGATAGATGGGTGGTGTAGTGGCTGGGTGGGGCGGATGGGTGGTTGTTAATTAGGGAGGGAAGATGGAAACAAGAGTGGAAGCGGAGCAGTAGGCCTATGACAGTCGGAGGCGTGGGCGCCCGGAGTGGGGGGGCGATGGTTGTTCGCAGGCGTTTAAGGGGAGAGCGCGGTGCGCCCGGGCTGGTTGGTGGGCGGTGGCGGCGAGAGGAGATGGGCGGGCCCGTGAGCGTTATGCGCGGCGTGCGGAGGACGGGAGCTGCGAACGTAAGAGCGGTCCGGCGGGAGGGTTATCGACCTTCGTCAGAGTCACCGCGCTGGGAGACACGCGCGAAATCCGCTTTCTTCTTCCCTCACCCCCTGCGTCTACTCCTGTTGGAAAGACATGGTGAATGCGGAATATTTATTATTTCTTTTGTATTGTTTGACTCACACTTCCCAAACTATAACAACAAATAATTACGTCCACCAATATTATGTCTAAATACAACATTTATTCGACAATACCAAAGCTAACTAAGATGAGCCTCCAGCATATGAATTTGAGCTTCAAAGCTTTTTGTACTTTTATAATTCGATATTTTCAATCTTTATATTAAACCCATTCTTCATAAACGTTCTATTTTTAAACGTTTTTCTTTAGACTTGATGAAGGGAAATGGCTTCACGACAAACTGATCCTTTGTGAATGAAGCTCATATTTATTTACGCTTTTTTAACGGTTCAATTTCTGCATAACAATCCTGACTATCCGAAATGGAAAGGTCTTAATTGCTACCCAATATTCAGAAATAAGTTTCACTCCCTTTCCTCTCGAAGCTTCACAAACGGTGGCAAAAGGCAAAAACTGAAAGAGAGAAGGTTGATATAAATGTGAAAGGAATGGTTATTGCAGATTTCAATTTATGTGGAGTGGACCTCGTTTTAGCTATCCATTTATTTCAGTTTTTTATCGGCGTTCATGGAAATCTAGTGTCTACGCTGCTCGTACGCAGATGTGGTCTAGCCCCGGAAAGCGACGGTGTGTGCGCCGCCTGGCGGCCGTCGGCTAGCAACTGCTTGCGGGCGTAAACAGGCGTTGCGCCAGCGGTTCCGATTGTGGGAAAGGTGCGCCGCCGCGCCTCGCGTCGCCTCGGCCACAGCCCTTCCCGCGACCTTCACTTGCCCCAACGCCCGCCACCGAAAGCCCGCCCGCTCGAAAGCCCGGCCCGCTCGCCCGCTGGAAAGCCACAGACCCGCAAGCCCGCCCGCCTGAAAGCCCGCCCGCCCGACCGAAAAGCGCGCCCGCCCGCCCGAAAGCGCGCCCCGATAAACCGCCCCGAAAGCGCGCCCGAAAGCGCGCCGAAAGCGCGCCGAAAGCGCGCCCGCAAGCCCGCCCGCAAGCCCGCCCGCAAGCCCGGCCGCAAGCCGCCCGAAGCCCGCCCCGCAAGCCCGCCCGCAAGCCCGCCCGCAAGCCCGCCGCAAGCCCGCCCGCAAGCCTGCCCGCAAGCGCTCTCGCAAGCCGCCCGCAAGCCCGCCGCAAGCCCGCCCGCAAGCCCGCCCGCAAGCCCGCCCGGCAGCCCGCCCGCAAGCCCGCCCGGCAAGCCCGCCCGCAAGCCCGCAACCGCACAGCCCGCCCGCAAGCCCGCCCGCAAGCCCGCCCGCAAGCCGCCCGCAAGCCCGCCCGTCCGTCCGCCCGCCTACGCCCCTACCTGCACCCGCTCGCTCACACGCCCGTCCGTCCACTCGCTCCTGGGCTCATATGCCAATATGCCCATTTACACACTTGCCCACGCGTCTAAGACTCTGCCTTTGATCAATGGACTGATGAAGAACTAGTTTATTCGTAAGCTTGCAAGGCTTGTGAATACGAAGGATTATTTACGTTATATTTCCATTGCTTTTCTTTCATGAATAGCAGACGGCGCATGATCCGTTGTCGAACACGAAACGTATGCTATTGAACTTTACGCTTTTATTCATTCGTTCGCCTGAGATCTTAAAGTCACGCACAAACCTCATTTGATCCACTACACCTTTTGTCACTGGTCTTCGTAAACGAGTGCACGCAAAAACTATTACAATCTTTTCTTTGCTATACATTTTTTTAAACATTTTTAAGTTTTCTTCTCGTATGATTTCGTGTAAGGCAATCTTAAGGAAAACATTTGATTGGGCAGATTTTTCCTCCTTCGCCGAGAAGTGACCCGACCCTGGCACCATTTAAACCAGGCCGCGAAAGCCCAATCTGGAATGGAGCCTTTTAGCTTATAAGATTTTACCTTTACATTTTCCAATAGAAGAATTCGTACAGGAACATTATGTGCAAAGATACCGAAAAGTTGTAACACAAAATGCGAATAAAACGCAACATAACTCAACTTGTTCTGAAGACCCAAAGATTGTGACAATCGTTCTACATCGGCTGCTCGTGATCATATATGTTAATATAATACTGTAATGAAGTACTCAACACATCCCATTTTCGAATGTCCACTGGATTCAATCGGACTCCCATATTTTCTTAGTTTGTCTTCCTGTCTTCATATTCTTATGACACCTGATATGAGCTAGTAATCTCCTAGACATTGATCTGAATTTGGCATCAAACTCCAGAGCAATGAAATGAGACAGAAATTTATACGAAAATCTATTCAGAATAGCGCCGAGTCCACAAAAACCATTAAGAGTTCTGTCAACATTCTGTTCTGCAAAGAAAGGATATATCAGAAATGAAATTTTCTTTCATGAATGTATTTCCACAGAATATCCACGCGCGATGACATTATGAAGTAATAGTTAACGCTCTCTCACGGAGGAACACATCAAATTTCGTAAGTAAAAGCTTTTGACATTTGACAGACGGCTTCCAGATCGTGCAGATACGGCTGCAAACACCACTCGCGACAATTACACTGCTGTTGAGAGACGTCCGTCGATTCCACGCTCATGTGCTGCTTTGTTTGCATGTAATTCCCGCCGGAGCCATTTAATTAATTTCACTGAAGACACCAATGTTGTCTTTCCACACATTCAGCTATATTTACTCATTTCAGAGTTTTTTAAATTCGAAATAAACACGATAATAAAACACTCGTGCATTGTTTTAATATAGCAATTTAGTTTGAGAGTTAATGGTTCCATAAATGTAGTGAAAATTAAATGTCAAATCTGAAACCACATCTTACTTAAAATTGTTTTCGCAGTAACAAGATCATGATATTGATGAACGCCATAACGCGAAAAGGTGGCAGAAGAAACCTTTATTCCTTTCAAAAAACGAAACTATTCAAGAATATTAATGAATTTAATGTTATTGATGAACACTATTTCCTATTGAAAAATTACCACGTTGGGCATTATTAAAAATATAATAGTCTGCATCATTTTCATGTTTCGTTTTGGTTAATTTTAACAGGAACTGGGACGCAGTATTTCGTGAAAGTAAACGTCAAAGTGTATTCTTTAAAATGTCAAATCATGGATTTGATGATTGATCAATATCTCTACCTCTTGGAATGTCAATTATTTGAGTGCATTTGATGACTTTTCACTAATGTTCGTTTTTCTTCTTTTTACAGGTGAGTGGTTGACAGGGCATAATATCCTGAATCTTTATAAGATATCACTGAAGCAAGTATGCAGTTGGCTTCATTTTAGGCAGCGAGACAGGTAATATGAAGTCGTCTCCACTTTTTTCTTAGAAATTGTTATGCACTGAAATAGAAGCTACAAAATACATTATATCCATTGTGAATGATCATCTCACCTTATATATTAAAAAATATTAACGCTTAGCAAATTTTAGTACGATATGTACACACGAAAAAGGTTAACGATATATTCATATACTTTATTTTGATGCTTTAAACAACATTCGATGACATGGCGTTCATTGAAAGATTTGCTATGCAGAAATTAAATCGTTCATTCTCGGAAGTTCTCGATTTCCATCCAGTAGATGATGTCGTTCAAGACAACGAAAGTTGCTTAAGCAGGTGATGCACATGAGCGTGATGTTGGTAAAAAAATCAACGCCAGGTATAGATGTGTTTGTGATTTCGTTTGTCCTGTGGAGCATATTAATATGTGCACCAAAAACTTCCCCAAAATGAAAACCATTTCCGTACACAATTCATAAGTTTATATCTTACGGAAGAAATGAATAAAAAACTTACTTCAAAGGTCTAAAAGATATCACATCTAACAATTTTTCGTCAAGTAGGAAAGAGAAAATGTGCATTATTTGGTAGTCTAAAAATTTTAACCCGAACTAACTATAAATAACCTTTTTTTAAATTAAAAGATAAATATGCTGTTGTGAGAGTGTATTGTGAAATGATCTTTCGATTTTTGTACCCGTTCATTCTATGTTTTATAGTATCCGTGCGTCAAATCTGAAATGTTGGGGTCTCGAAAAGCATTTGTGCGTGAGACACTAGCCGCAAGGAGTGCATGGTCATCCACACAACCCCCTTTACGGCACCGCAGATGCGGCACCGCAGATGCGGCACCGTAGATTGCGGGAGGGGGTGGGCACATCTCGATTTTAACGAGGAATCGGCTGGGTTGTATTTACTACATATCTATATATAGGCGCATTTCCTTAATTGGTCTCAAATACAAATACCTTTTGGGAAGTCAAATTGCTTGTTTATAAATTAGTTTGTTGCTTAAGAAATAACTCTTAAATTCATTAGATAACAATAATTTCATTTGAAATAATTTAATAGTTTCTTAAAATTTGATATGTACAAACATAAATGTATAGCGTCGCGTTTTAAAATGGATAAAGGCGGGAATGTAGCATTTATCACTTAAACTACAATCAAAACTAGTACGTTTGTCTACAAACAACTGATATAAGATTCATGCTATCGCTCTTTTGCATTGAAATGACATTTATAATTACTTTCAATAGGTTATCACCACATAATTCACAGTTTCAAAAACACACACATGCCCCAACCGCATACAAACACGCATGCACAACTGCATACACGGAGACATATACGAACATCCCTTCCCTTAATTCCATAGAGCCGTGAACAGGGGGCGGATCGAGGCGATCACGTTTTTGGGAGTGAGAATCATAGATTTTTGCTAAATAAAAATTACAGTTGTTAATATCTTCTGTATTATTTTTGAAGTGTACATATTACACCATACAATAATAGTTTTTAAATAAGTACGTTATTCTAACATAGATATTGCCAAAGAAAGGAAGGTTTAAAACGCCAACTCTAGCCTTCTGGGGTGGACATGGCGCCCGCGTTCCGCCCCTGGCTACGAAAAGCGAAGGCCTCGTCAGAGTCGG